GAAAGAAGAATTAACCCAGTCCTCCTCAAATTTTTCCAAAATATTAAAGAGGAGTAAACACTTCCAGACTCATTCTATGAGGCCAGCATAACCCTGTTACCAAAGCCAAAAACACTGCAAGAAAACTACAGACCAATATTCCGGATGATTATTGATGCAGAAATTCTTAACAAAATACTTGACAACAAAATTCAGTAGCATATTAAAAGAGTTATACACTATGGCCATGTTGGATTTATTCCTAAAATTCAAGGATGAATCAACATAAGGAAATTAGTGTAGTATGCCACATTAACAGTGTAGGGAGGAGAGAACACATGATAATGTTTATCTGTGCAGAAAAAGCATCTGAAAGATTCAACAGTCTTTTTTTTTTTTTCTTAGATGCAGTCTTGCTCTGTTGGCCAGGCTGGAGTGCAGTGGTATAATCTTGGCTCACTGCAGCCTCCGCCTCCCAGGTTCCAGCAATTCCCCTGCCTCAGCCTCCCAAGTAACTGGGATTGCAGGTGCATGCCACCATGCCCAGCTAATTTTTGTATTTTTAATAGAGACAAAGTTTCACCATGTTGGCCAGGCTGGTCTCAAACTCCTGACCTCAAGTGATCCACCCACCTCGGCCTTCCAAAGTGTTGGGATTAAAGACATGAGTCCTGGCCTGATTCAACATTCTTTCATAATTTAAAAAAAACTGAGTACACTAGGAATAGAAGAAAACTACCTCAACATGGTAAAGGCCATATATGAAAAGCCCACAGTTAACATCAGACTAAATGGTGAAAGACTGAAAGCTTTTTATTTAAGATCTAGAATAAGAAAAGGATGCCTGCTTTTTTCACTTAGCCCTTGTCAGAGAAATTAGGGAAGAAAAAGAAAGAAAAAGGCATTCAAATTGAAAAAGAAGAAGTAAAATTATCTCAACAGATAACATGATCTTATATGTATGTACAAAACCCTAAAGATTTCACAAACACAATACAAAAATCTGTTAGAAATAATAAATGAAGGCCAGGCATGGTGGCTCATGCCTGTAATCCCAGTACTTTTGGAGGCCAAGGTAGGAGGATCACTTGAGTCTAGGAGTTTAAAACCAGCCTACACAGCATGACAAAAGCCACCTCTACAAAAAAATACAAAACATTAGCTGGGCATGGTGATGCTTGCCTGTAGTCCCAGCTACTTGAGAGGCTGAGGTAGAGGATTACCTGAGTTCCAGGAGTTCAAGGCTGCAGTGGGCTGAGAACTGCCACTGCACTCTAGCCTAGGTAACAAATTGAGAGCCCATCTCAAAAAACAAACAAATGAATTCACTAAAGTTGCAAGGTAAAAAAATTAACACAAAAAAAATTAGTTGAACTTCTGTATACTAACAATGAACAGGAAATTAAGAAAACAATTCCATTTATAACAGCATCAAAAAGAATAAAATATTTAGGAATAAATTTAATCAAGGAAGTAAAATACTTGTACATTAAAAACTATAAAATGCTGCTGAAACAAGAAACAAATATTAATAAATGGAAAGACATTGTGTTCATTGGGATTGGAAGTCTTAATAAGATGGAAATATAACCCAAATCACTTTTTTGCAGGAATAGTAGAATTCATATAGAATCTCAAGGGACTCCAAATACCAGAACAATCTTGGGAAAGAATAAGTTTGGAAATCTCACATCTCTGTTTCAAAACTCATTACAAAGCTATAGTAATCAAATCAGTATAAGACTGGCATAAAGACAGACATATATATCAATGGGATATAATAAAGAGCCTAGAAATCTCACATATGTGTTCAAATGATTTTTTACAAGACCATTTTGTCTGAAAGGGCAGTCTTCTCATCAGATGATATTGGGGAAACTGGCTATCCACATGCAAAAGAATGAGGTTGCAACCTTTACCTGAAATCATAGACAAAAATTAACCCCAAATGGATTGAAACTTCTAAACATAAGAAAAACTATAAAACTGTTAAATGAAAACATGGAAAGCTTCATGACATTGAATTTGCCAGTAATTTTTTGATACCAAAAGTACAGACAAAAAATATATAAATTGGAAAACTCAAAAACTTCTGTGCATCAAAGAACACAGCAGAATAAAAAACCTATGGAATGGCAGAAAATATTTGCCAATCATATATTTAATAGGGGATCAATATCCAGAATTTGTAAAGAACTCCTACAACTCAAAAACAAAACCTGATTTTTAAAATAGGCAAAGGACTTGAATAAACATGTTTCCCTTGAAGATATGTAAATAGCCAACAAGCACATGAAAAGATGTCCAGTGTCACTAATTATCAGGGAAACACAAATCAAGCCACAATATAATACTACCCCATACCTGTTAGAATGGCTACTCTCAAAACAAACAAAAAAAAAACCATAATTTTGACCAACTGTTGACAAGGATGTGTAGAAATTGGAATCCTTGTGCCTTATTGGTGGGAATGTAAAATGGTATAGGCACTATGGAAAACAGTATGAGAATTCAAAAAAAAAAAAAAAAAAACCACAGAATTATCATATGACCCAGCAATTTAACTTATGGGTATATACCCAAAAGAATTGAAAACAAAGTCTCAAAGAGTTATTTGTATACCCATATTCATTGCAGGATTATTCACAATAGCCAACAGGTGGAAGCAACCTAAGTGTCCACTGACAGATGGATGCATAAACAAAATGTGATATATACACATAATGGAATACTGTCCAACTTTAAAAAGGAAGGAAATTTGATACATGCTACAACATGGATGAAGCTTGAGGGCATTATGCTAAGTAAAATAAGCCAACCACAAAAAGACCAGTACTGTATGATTCCACTTATATGCAGTACCTAGAGTAGTCAAAGTTGTAGAGATAGATAATAGAAAGGTGGTTTCCAGGGGCTGGAGGGAAGGGGTAATGGGGAGTTGTTAACTGTGTACAGAGTTTTAGTTTTAGAGAATGAAGAAAGTTTTGGAAGTTAGTTGTACAACAATGAGAATGTATTTTACCACACAATTTAAAACAATTTTAAATGCAGACATTACTACTTCATTTTCTTGTAGTATTACCCCAGCATCTGGCCTCTCGAAGTTTCAGTACAGACCTGTCAATAGCTTACCTCTAAGAAATGAGATGTGACAAACCTCACAGTTTTGTTTGGAGCTTGGTAACTTGTTGGCACCGTTGTGAGATAGACTTCAACACTATGAACTTCATGATCTAATTCTCAATTGTCAGCTGGTGTGTCAATGAAGAATGATAGGATACTGCAGCATTATGCAGAAAGCATTAAGTTTGTATTTCTGTTTTTTTTTTTAAGGAACAAATAAAAACAATAGAACTACATTGTCTACAGAATCGTTTGTAACCAATTGCAGTTCATTTGTACATTTCACTTCTATTGTATGTTAGCTGTGGCCATTTCTGTTTAAGTATCTTCATAACTTAACACTAATGATAACCTATATTATAGAAAATTCCAAGAGTATTGAAAATGTATTGTGTTCCCATTTGTCTGGTTTCTTTTCATTGCTTTTTATCAATAAGGATATAACAGTGCACTGGGGTAAAATAAAAATGAAGGGTAGTATGATATAATAAAGAGAAGTTCTAATCTTTTCACATTTTCAATCATGAGACTTTCACCAAGTTTAAAAATCTCTGTTTTTGTTTTGTAGATTGGGAATAGCACCTATGCTACTCATGTCCTGGGCTGCAAAGGTTAAATTAGCTAGTTCTTTTATGTAAATATATGATCATAGAATTTTAAAGAAGAAACAAACTTTCAAGATAAAGGGTTTTTTGAACTGTTTTCTGAAGCATTGGCAACTATTTCTAAGGGAAAGTTAGGAAAACTGTAAGGTATAATACAAATAAAATTGGGGTGCTCTAGTTGAATTCAGAGTAGAGTTCCAGATAGACCACTGCCTACGTGGCTTTCTCTAAATTCTTCCTTGGCAGCCCAATACACCAGAGCACAAACAAAGCATTTAGAATGTATTTTTTTTCAACAGATTAATTATTTGGAACCTGAAGTGTGCATTCATTTGAAAGAGAGGATATGGGTCTAAAGCTATATTAATGTTCATTATTATTACTATTATTTTATGCATTTCTATTTTTCTCAAAAATTATTAATAGCAAGTCAAACAAAATACCTTTTACTATGTAACATGGAAGGCTCTTCAACTTTTAGAACAATGAAACTTTTAGAGTTCACAATTAATAAGCAATTTGCAGATGTACTAATTTCTGTGCCAGTAAGTAGAAAATTAAGAAAAAAAACCTATTTTATTGTGTTAAATTGATCCCTTTACGTGTATTTCCTATCCCAGTTATACCTCTTTTGTGATTTAGATCAAAATCTCCTAATAAATGACAGCATACATCATTTTTGTGTTGTCTTTGTCCATAAATATATAAGTAATTATGAAATCATGAAATTACAGTAATTATAAATGCAAAAGAACTTTCTCCATAGCAGTCTGCCTGATTAGAATAAGCCTGGTATTTGTTTGATCTTTTGACTGTGATTTGATTTTAGCAAAACACTTTAAATTTGTGAGGAAAAAATTTTTTGTATCTTTTTTTGGTGTTAATATATTTTGGTTTTATTATTACAAAATTTTCATTTTTATGTTTATATACACTTAAGCAACATTGTAATAAAAACAATTTCAGTGAACATTTAGGAATCATAATACTTTTTCTTTTAAAGAAGTCTGCATATTATTTGTGTTTGATAATTACTATCATCTATATCTTTAGCTTTTGTGCCATTGGCTCTTTGTTTTTGGATGAAAACCTGCAGCTATAGAATCTGTTTCCTACAAGATTTGAAGTTTCTATTTTCACTGGCTCAAAGCATAATTTAAATAATTTCGTTAGTGATTTGTTTTAAAAGCCTTCCTGGAATAAAGGCGCTATTATGGAGAAATTCATTCCTTCTACATATACTTAACACTTATTTTCACAACTTTGTTTATTTTCACTAATTACTTTTCACAGATAATCAATATGCGTTTCCAAGCCTTTTGGCTGTGTTTGGGTCTTCTGTTCATCTCAATTAATGCAGAATTTATGGACGATGATGTTGAGATGGAAGACTTGGAAGAAAATTCTAAAGAGATTGATGATAATGAAGGTGAACTTTCCACAGAGGTATGGTTATTGAGAAATGAGATGTAAATTATTCCTTCACATAGTACAATGAAAAGGATGATTCATTTCAGTGCTAAAAATCTTCATTTTAGAGATAGATATAAAAAAACATTGATTTTTTTCGAAGTGTTTTATTGCTTTATTTTTTAGAGCGCCCATGTACTCCAGAAATTTGTGCATGACACCTAGCACAGTTTCTTAAATGAATAAATATGGGGGAGGTATTTACTACCAAAATAGAAGTTTGTCACTGGTTAAAGAGAACTATGTTAAGAATAAGGTTTTTATTTGTATTTCTGACATTGCTAGATCTTTTCAAGTAAAAGGCCATATAATTTATATTTCTTCAAGAAGTAAATTATCTGTCTTTATTTCTCTGAGGAAAGAAAATGCTAAGAAGGAGACTGAATTAGAAAATGAAGTGATGATGAGGGGTGGACATTTAGTAAAGGTGACTTATGTTTCTGTCTCAGCATTGTTAAGACATGTGTTTTGAAGTAGTGATTAACAGGAGTCTGAGAAATTGCAGGGATTTTTGTATACCTTGACAATACATAAGAGCTTTTACATTGAGGAATATTCATATTTAACCCTGGGATAACCAGAAATATTTTTGATGGTGAGAAATCATTAATTGTACTGTGCCAGCTACTCTTTGAAGGGCCAAGGGGAATAATATGTAGTTGTTACAGATTCCTTTATTTCATTTCCTTTTATTAAGAATTTTTCCCTGTAATCCCAGCACTTTGGGAGGCAAAGGCGGGTGGATCACGAGGTCAAGAGATGGAGACCATCCTGGTCAACATGGTGAAACCCCGTCTCTACTAAAAATACAAAAAATTAGCTGGGCATGGTGGTGCGTGCCTGTAATCCCAGCTACTCAGGAGGCTGAGGCAGGAAAATTGCCTGAACCTAGGAGGCGGAGGTTGCGGTGAGCCGAGATCGCGCCATCGCACTCCAGCCTGGGTAACATGAGTGAAACTCCGTCTCAAAAAAAAAAAAAAAAAAAGAATTTTTCATTTGCAAATATGTTGTTTCACTGTTTAAGGTGAAGAGTGTATTTCCCCTGTTAAATTTTAAGCTCGGCAAGGACAATTTTTTTTTAAGCCTAATTCTATAATCTGCAGAAAGTAAGTACTCCAAGTACTAATAGTGACTGACTTGGATACAGTTATTACAGGGTCTTTGAAGGTTAATATTAATACTTCAAAGAAATTGACAGATAACTACCACTCGACTTTTTTGGTGACAGTTGGAGAATATCATAAGAAGTGGGAAAGAATAATTTTGATGCTTCTAATTTTATAGCATGAGTAATCTAGATAGGGTGAAGTATAAATAAAAATCAGCAAGATAAACTGATTTTAAAGGTGGCCTGCCGAAGAAGTCTCATGTGACACCATTGCCCATTTTGTCAATCTATAAAAATATAGAGAACAGTAAAGTTGTAATTCAGTAAACTTCATAGAAGATTGGCAATTTTGGCAGCTGAATCTTGACTCTGTCAGTAATTATGTGGAATTTTGTGTAATTACTGATTTTCCTCTCTTAAACGCACAGGAAGTGTTACACTATCAGGGTGGGATAGGGACAGTAAAAAACAGAAAAAGTATTTCTGCACCCTTTTCCCTAAAGCCTAATGGAAGAAATCTCATAACTAATCATATAATCACCAAAGGCTGATTCTGAGAAAACCCAGACAAACCTATTACTTTAGGCAAAATTTTATTTATTCATCATCAGTTTAAATTATCTTTTGATAGTTTATCAATCTTTACTCTTTAAATTATTTTGTTGGCAAATTCTGTATCATGTAGTAAAAATGTATGAGCTTTGGAGCCAGTCTTGGCTTTACGTATAAGTTCTATAATTATCTAATTGTGCAGCAGTAAGCAAGTTATTTTGTCTCTCCCAGTTTCATCATATATAAAATGGGTACCAATGGTACTTCCCCCATAGAAATATTGTGGGAATTAAAGGAGCCACTATATCACCAGCAATACCCAGCCACCATCATCATTATTGCAATCCTAACAGCTAACACTGCAAAGGCACTTGAAACAATGCTTTGTTGGTAATTGCTTTGCAATGCTATCTCCATAGATTCTTTTCATTCTCTGGGCTCCTAATCTTGGAAAATTATATTATCATCTTTTAGAGTACCTAATAGTAAAATTTAAGAGTTAATTTTAAAAGCCTATCTTCTTACTAAGCTCTTCATCTTATATGCTTTTCATTATGCTATCTCCTTTGCTCCCAAAGCTTTTTATCCATAAATATTGTCATTTGTCAGAGTCCTTTCAAGACCACGTACATGTGTCATAAGACCTTCTACAATCACTTCCTCCCATTCCTTCAGTGTTAGAAGGGGTCAGTGTATCCACTGTTTGCACATATAGTATTTTTGTCATCATGGTATTTCTTATATTTTCTTATACCTTATCACTACTGGGACACAAAGTTTTGTTTCCTATTTGAGTTTGTCGTCTCATATCTGTATGACCTGTATGTACATTGCATACTACATTCTTCACTAGGAAGATTATTTAATTTAAATATTTGTGAAAATGAATAACTTTGGATTTGTAAAATTTCTTTTCTAGATAAAATATAAGACACCTCAACCTATAGGAGAAGTATATTTTGCAGAAACTTTTGATAGTGGAAGGTTGGCTGGGTGAGTATTCATTCAAGAGAATGTTTTCTTTGATTTGTTAGCTTTTTTGAAGTTATTAGGTTTTGGCCTATGAAAATTACCTCTACTACAGATCTATATAAATTTTTAAATACTTTAATTGACATTGTAAATCACTACTTAGAATATTTTTGTTATTGATAGAATATTTAATTTGAATAGTTATTTATTCAAAGAAAATATACAATTCTGAATGTAAAGATGAAATTTATAACATTTCTTCAATCTCTAGGACAGATATTAACACTCTAATTCAGATGACAAATATGAGTTACTGTTCTCCTCTAAATAATGCAAAAAACAATAAAAATTAATATTAAAATGATTATTATATGTCAGATATCCTAAAAAAGTAGATAATTACCATATTTAATGCCCATTTTACAGGTGAGGAAACTGAAGCTTCCAGTGCCTTACCTGTGATTATACAGCTAGTAAATTATAGATTCCAAATTCAGTTTAACTCTAGCCCTTCAGAAATATGTGTAGGCATCCTTATTTAGCCTCTAAGTATGAATTTATTGTTGAATGAAAAGTCACTATATTGAGTGATCTTTTCTTGTGTTTATGTATGCATTATAACCATAAATTGCTGATTTTATTGTTAATGACATATATGTATGTCCAACTTTATTTTCAGATGGGTCTTATCAAAAGCAAAGAAAGATGACATTGATGAGGATATTTCAATATACGATGGTAAAATATTTATTTAAGTATTAGATATAACCAGTATGGCCTGGAGTTCACTAACCTTTGAGACTATATTTCTGTTATATTGTGTTGGCTGGAATCCCCCATCCGGCCTCAAAATAAAATGTTCAGTGTTTTATCTTGTCCCTCTTCAATATTTCTGAAAAATCCTTCACTATTTCTGAAAATTCCACTCTTAAGCCAGTTAATCTAGTTTTCTAACTGACCAGTTGAATTTTCACTCTAATGCTGCTAGTCTTTTTCATTTCCTGAAGCAGTATTTCCCAGGCTACTGCTATCTCTATGGTTTCATCTCAAGTGTAGACACACCTAGATCAAATTATAATTTATGGTAAGATTCTCCTAGCAAGTACAAAACAGAGGATAACTAATGAGAGCTACAAGATATGTGGCGACATCTGCAACCCACATCTCGAGGCCTATATCAGTATCTGACAGGATTCTCTTCAGCCTTAGCTCTAGAAAGAAGTGTCCTATAGGCAGAGGTCATATTGTCTTCCCTAACAGCACTACCCTAAAGTGTGACCAAACACTTTCTTCTTTGTGGTCTAAACACCATCCTCCTTAATTGTTATATGCTGAAGCAAGATCAGCCTCTTCTCACGGTGACTGATAGTGGTAATTTCTTCTTTCTCAGAGGACCTCATACTCACAAGCATGTGACCTTGCACTGAGACCCCGATAGGCAGTTACATCACAACAGCAAAATAGAATGTTGGATGTCAGCTGTCTGCTTCCTTTACATAGTTTCTGTTTTGGGGTAAGATAAAGATCATGCCTGCATGTCTTCCTTTGCATAGCGTTCACCATCCCAGCAAATGCCCTGTGTGTGTGCGTGCGCGCGCACACACACACACACACACACACACACACACTGCTGGTGCAATGATACAGCCTCTATGGAAAAATGTATGGAGATTTATTTAAAAACTGAAAGTAGATCTACTATTTAATCCAGCAATCCCACTACTGCTTTTTCTGTGCATATGGTGGTGTCCTTTTTGGAGTAGATAAGTATATATATATATATATGTTCCCTTTTATGTTCTCTTAAATGTTCCCTTTTCACCACACCCATGCCAATGTTTTTTTTTTTTTGTTGTTTTATTGTTTGTCATTTTTTTTTTTACTTTTTAATAATGGCCATTCTTACAGGGTCAGGTGGCATCTCGTTGTGATTTTAATTTGCATTTCCCCGATGATTAGTTATATCGAACATTTTTTAACACGTTTGTTTGCCATTTGTATATCTTCTTCTGAGAAATGTCTATTCATGTCATTTGCCTACTTTTTGATGGGATTATTTTTTTTTCCTTGCTGATCTGTTTGAGTCCCTTTATTCTGGATACTAGTCCTTTGTCAGATGCATAGCTTGTGAATATTTTCTCCCATTCTGTGGGTTTTCTGTTTACTCTGCTGATTATTTCTTTTGCTGTGCGGAAGCTTTTTAGTTTAATTATGTCCCATTTATTTATTTTTGTTGTTGTTGCATTTGCTTTTGGGATCTTGGTCATGAATTCCTTGCCTAAGCCTAGAAGAGTTTTCCAGGAAAAAAAAATTTTATGGTTTCAGATCTTAGGTTTAAGTCTTTAATCCATCTTGAGTTGATTTTGTGTATGGTGACAAGTAAAGATTCAGTTTCATTCTTCTGCATGTGGCTTGCCGGTTTTCTCAGTACCATTTATTAAATAGGATGTTCTTTCCCTAATTTGTGTTTTTGTATGGCTGGTCGAAGAACAGTTAGCTGTAAGTATTTTGCTTTATTTATGGTTCTCTATTCTGTTCCATTGGTCTGCGTGTCTACTTGAGACCGGTACCATACTGTCTTGGTAACTATGGCCTTGTATAATTTGAAGGTAATGTGATACCTCCAGATTTATTCTTTTTCCTTAGGATTACTTTGGCTAAGTAATCCTAAGGAAAAAGAAGGCTCTTTTTTGGTTGCATATTAATTTTTGGATTTCTCTTATAATTCTGTGAAAAATGTTGGTATTTTGACAGGAATCGCATTGAATCTGTAGACGGCTTTGGGCAGTGTGATCATTTTGATGATATTGATTATTCAATCCATGAGCATGGGATGTGTTTCCATTTCTTTGTGTCATCTATGATTTTTTTCAGCAGTGTTTTATAGTTCTCCTTGTATAGATTTTTAACCTCCATTAAGAATATTCCTAGGTATTTTTTTTACAGCTATTGTAAAAGGCATTGAGTTTTTGATTTGATTTTCAGTTTGGTCATTGTTGCTGTATAGCAGTGTTACTGATTTGTGTACATTGATTTTTTAACCTGAGACCTGTATTGAATTCATTTATCAAGTGTAGTTGTCCTTTGGATGAGTCTTTAGGGTTTTCTAGGTATATGATCATATCATTAGCAAACAGTGATCGTTTGACTTCCTAGTTTCCAATTTATATGTCCTTCATTTCTTTGTCTTGCCAGATTGCTCTGGCTAGACCTTTCCAGATAAAGTTGTTCTTTTTAAAATAAGACCTTTATAGGGGGCAAGGGGCAAACTACAAGTTAGTGATAATACAATTCATCATCAATGTGAGAGAAAGAAAACCCCACCTTAATCTTTTTCAAAAAAAGTATACTATGACCAAATTAGGGGGAGAAAGAAAAGAAAGTTGGAAACTTAATAAAAACCCACACATTTTTTAAAATCTAAAAAGGTATACACAATTATAAACCAAAAATTACCCCTCTTTGATTTACAAGACTGTGTCTGGTTCTTGCATTATTTTTCTTAGAAAGAAAACAAAATGATATAAGAACATTTGTGATTCCAAAGTGCTCATTAATGAATATTTTGAGTTGATACAATACTGGAAAATAGCCAGTTTTTGCTGAATTGAATTTTCTTGGAATAGGCAATACCTATAATTTTCAAAACAGAAGATTTTACACAAGTTAATGTAAGTTGATTTTCTATTCTAAAACCAGTAAAGGAGTAAAATCTAACACATAAATTTTGGGCTACAAGCAGCCCACCTAGCTTTGCATTGTTTGTGGTCCATAATCTAATTTCCAGAATGTCCTAATCTTAACATGGAAAATTGTAACCCAGAGAAGCCCTAACTCAGTTTTGCCTTGTAATAGCTTACCACTTATGTAGTGCTTTGCTGCCTTCTTGGCCAAAAGTCCTGAGAGCTGATTAGTGTAAATTGAGAAGGATTTGTGTGAATTAAGCATGCACTTTTCAAAATGAACTTTAAATCTTTACAATAACTGCTGCAAGTAAGAAAAGAACCTGATGAGTATTGGGCATTTCAAAATAAATAGACTGCTCATTTTGTGTTAATGATGCTCTTTGTGTCACATACTGTTTTAAATATGTTATTTTAAAAATATATTGACAGACCCTATTGAAACAAACCACATTTTATAATTTCATTGATTTAAAAGTCTTTCATACAAAAACCAAATTTGTTAAGCTTTAAGAGTGACTTAATCCTTTGGGAGGCCAAGGTGGGCAGATCACCTGAGGTCAGGAGTTCAAGACCAGCCTGACCAATATGGAGAAACCCTGTCTCTACTAAAACTAAAAAGTTAGCCAGGCATGGTGGCACATGCCTGTAATCCCCGCTATTGGGGAGGCTGATGCAGGAGAATCACTTGAACCCGGGAGGCGGAGGTTGTGGTGAGTCCAGATCGTGCCATGCAGCCTGGGCAACAAGAGTGAAACGCCATCGGAAAAAAAAAAAAAGAACGACTTAATTAGACACCATAGTGTTTGCTATTAATTTTCACAATTTTAGTTAAGAAAATAAAATCATTTTTTCAGAGAAAGAAAAATGAGCAGGCATACATGTATAGTTGCACATATTTCCTGATTTAAAATTGTTATTTTTCCCAAATCAGCCTTCCTGGAAAAAATTATTGCTCACAACTGCTGATAAATAATTCTTAGGTCAATGTTTTCTGTTTCAGTTTAATTTGCTTTACTTTATTTTTTAGGAAGATGGGAAATAGAAGAGTTGAAAGAAAACCAGGTACCTGGTGACAGAGGACTGGTATTAAAATCTAGAGCAAAGCATCATGCAATATCTGCTGTATTAGCAAAGCCCTTCATTTTTGCTGATAAGCCCTTGATAGTTCAGTAAGTGTTGCTATGTTTTTGAATATTTTATCTGAATTTTATATTAGCTTCGGCTTCTGTGAATATAGCTTGTATTTTGAAAATGGATGTAAAAATCTAGATCTTTCTTTTTTGTTTCACTTAAATACACAAATGTGCAAATACACACAAACATACCTATGCTTTCAATTAAAAGCAGGTAAATGATAAAATTATATAAAGATCAACCACTCTTATGACCTAGTACTAATATTTATATTTTTTATTTCAAGGAGTTGTATGTGGGCTGTTAAGCAATGTATTTATTTTGGTCTGAGTGTTTGCATTGACTAAATGAGGAATAGATAGTTTGGATCCCTTCAAAAAGATTTTAAAATAAAATTATGTGATATATGCTGTAATAAAAGTAATTCTGCTGCCATAAACTATATAATGCATAGTAAAAACCACCATTTTTGTTATACTCTTAAAATTACTTGTTATCAAAATATTAAACTTAATAAATTCAGAGTAGAATCATAAATATTGCTATTAAACCAGTGATAACATTCAAAGGCAGAAATTTATCTTAAAAATAAATGTTTATGAATACCAGTGTCTTTCAAGCATGAACCCCTTTGAAAGATCACAGTCTTATAAATAATCCTTTCCACCAACCTCTCCATTTCTCTGCTATGCCTGGCATGGTGCCTCACAGGTATAATCCAGCACTTTAGGAGGCCAAGGTGGGCAGATAGCGTGAGCCCAGGAATTCAAGACCAATCCGGGCAACATGGCAAAGCCCTGACTCTACAAAAAGTTTTTAAAAATTAGCCAGGTGTGGTGGTGCCCACCTGTAGTCCCAGCTACTCTGGAGGCTGAGGTGGGAGGATCACCCAAGCCCAGGAAGTCAAAGCTCCAGTGAGCCGAGGTCACACCACTGCACTCCAGCCTGGGTGACACAATGAGAACCCACCCCCAAAAAAAAAAAAAAAAAAAAAAAAAAGAAAAGGAGGATCAAGAATTGAATAGCAGTCTTTCATATGATTAAAAATAATTCAAAGGAGGGTGAATGTTTTTCTCCTCTTAATATTGATAAAATGAAATAGGGTAAATAAAATGAAGATATTTATATTAAATGCTGATTTATGACATAACTTTACTCTAAAGCGGCTTTCCCAAATTGTATATATGTTAAATACATGAATATAATTGAAAATGAAGAATATCCTAACTTAAAAAATAGGAAGTATGTTAGCCCATTAACGACTAAGAAGTTCTACATATGAACGCCTGTTTTCAGCATTACTGCTGTGTTTCCCAAACATGTTTGATCACGTAAGTTTATTTTCCCACCTAACAATAATTACTATTTAGTGGAACAATTTGAGAAATGATACTCTAAAGAAATCAAGGTTGACACATATTCTGCGTATGTCCTTGGTTTCCCTATGGCTGGAAACTTAGCAGCAGTCAAGCTGTATGATAAACCTTTTGCTAATCCATTGTGAATCATTTATACTAGGTAAAAGTTAATGATCTGAAAACTCTGAAAGCTTGCAGTATGAGAAATAGACAAAATGATTGAATCTAGGCATAATGGAACAACAAAACCATCTTCACATTTATGGAACCAGTGTACAAAATTGTTTTTTCTAGTTCTTATCATTTTACAGAATGCTTTGTCCTCAGATAACCTATTATAAAGCAATATCTTTTTAATTTTTTTTCTAAAAACGGTGGGTTTTAAGTCATATCATGCATCATGTCTTCTACTTATAGTCTTCAAACATAAATTTCATTAAAAAAATGTTGTCAGCTATTGCTTAAAATAAAGACTTTGAGGAAAACGAACTGTTCTTTATTTAAAAAATGAAAAAGAACAAAAGAATACCTTCCTTCTGATTATCACAGAAGCATTTTGAGAATATATTTGCCCCTCATTGGACATGATATCCTTTAATCATCGTAACAATCCTTTGAGGTGTAAGTATGGGCCATGTCTCCATATTATAGATGAGCAAATAGAGACTTAGAGCTTAAATGACTTGCTCTTACCCAAGGAGTCACTAGAGTAAGTGGCAGAATCAGAATAACTCTCAAGTCTTTTTGACTTTAAAGTACATGCTTGTAGCCACTGTTGTTGATAGCTTAAGAAATAAAACATGGTAGAAAGCATAGGGGAAAATCACCCCTTGCAAATCAGAGATACTTAAAATTTTGTTTCCTCTGTTTTTTTTTAATACAAAATATGTACATCAATTGAGTTCAAACTGTTGAAATTTTGTATGCCATCCTACAAATTATGATTTATATCATATAAATTATGTTTTACCTTCTTGTCACTAAATTTTTTCAGAAAAATTTAAAACTATAGTCCCTTATTAAAATGATCATTATTTCTGGTTGTTTCTCTAGCTTTCATGTCTTTTTGTTTGAATTCTTCTAATGAAATCATAACCTTTTTTTTTTACTGTTTCCATTTTGACAGCCATTTCCTCATTGATTTTTGTCACATATAATTCATCAATTTAACAACAACAAAAAAAAACTCTCCTAAATTCTATTTAGTAAGTCTATGCTTCATTGCTATAAAAAGGCTATTTACTTTTAAAAACTACCAATAAATAAAAAAACTTAGCTGAGAATTACATTGTGTTATAAATTCATGAGAAGACTCATGTTAGTTCACTCTTTTAGCTGTTATACTAAACAGCAAAAATTTCCTATGTCTCCTGGCTGTTTAGGTCTGAAAAAATCCAGCTTATTGATTGAGATTATGAATCTCTGGTGGAGCCCTTTAATTAAATATACAACTTATTTAACATGGTAAGGTGTAGTGACCTCTAGGTATCTAAGATCATTAGTAATTTCTTAGACATCTTGCTTTAGCTGTGGTTCTTAGGGCTTTTGGGTTTTTTTAGTTTATAAAGTATATGTATAGTGCCTACCTTATCAGAATTTGAAGTTTCCTGTTACAGTTATAGTCACAGTATCTTATTCTTAATCTCAATTTTGATGGAAAAAATATTTAAACAAATTGATTGGTTTGTCTCAGTTGATTATAATCATTCTATTTTTAATATTGTAATAATGTGTTTTGTATTATAGTAGTAGAAAAGCATTTCTGCTTATTTCCTATAGGTTGTAGATACGCTTTGTATGAGCTTTCTAATAATGTAAAAAAAATTATACTTACATGAATTGAGAATAATACATTAGATTTTAAAGGGCAATTTATAATTTTTATTTATCAGTAGTACGGTTCTTTTTCCCTTTATTCAGATATGAAGTAAATTTTCAAGATGGTATTGATTGTGGAGGTGCATACATTAAACTCCTAGCAGACACTGATGATTTGATTCTGGTATGATATTTTAATATTTATGAAAACCTTATTAGAGTTAATAAGTATTTTTAAGGAACAATTGATAAAACTGAAAATTTCATCTTCAACTGAAATTGAAAAGAACTATAGATACATTTTTAACATGAATTTATATAGCTACAATTTGCCTTCAAGTTTTATATAAAATTGTGTTGCTTGAAGGCACCAATTTTATAATCTTTAACATGAAAAAGTTTACCATGTCTGTAAGACAAAAACTGCATAGTACTTATAAATTCTCTTGAAATACAGTTTAGAGTTATTTTCTTTACAGAATAAGACTCTTAAGTTTGTTTAGAGACGTATGATAACAAAGTGAAGCAGTGAAACAAAATGTCCTAAGAACCAAATTAAAAGGGGTTGGCAGCCCACAGAGAGTAACTAATTTTTAAAACTCTGTGATATAGCAGCTTTATACTTCTAAGAGGTTGTATTAGGACCATTGGAAGGTTGAGTATATTGCTTATAGCCTTCTCAAGAGGCTGTTTCAGACTTCCTGCATATAACAGAAATAAGATAAATGAGACATCAGGGGGATATTTTCAGAACACATGGCTGTATATAAGCTTTGAAATGTGGATGAAAGGCTTTTTCATATACTACTCATAATTATTAGGATCAAGTGAAAGAGAGGCCATTGTAGTATATGCTGAAGCTCTTCTTTTAGATGTAAGGTGATGAACACTTGAAGGTAGGATGACAAAAAAATCTAATGCCAAGTATTTCTATAAGCACTTTATCTGATTAATTTACTTAATCCTCAGAGAACTCTTACAAGGTAGGTACTAATATCATCTCCATACTTCAGAGGTGATGAAATGGAGATGCAGAGAGATTTAAAAATTGACGCAAGGTGGCATACAGCTAGTTTAAGTGGCAGTGGTAGAATTTGAACCCTAGTATCTGACTCCATACCCATGCTGTTAACTACTATGCCATGCCAAATAAAGAGAAATGCATGTCTCCATGTCTGTTTATCTCTCTCCATTTTGTGCTTAGAGGGTCATTTTCTGGTATCTTCCTAAATAATAGCAACAGATAATAATTTTAGTCTTAAGGCCATAAATTTGATTTCCTCTAATGCCTAATTCCCTCAGTAAAATATTAATAATACAAATTTACATGGATAATTAAAGCATATTATGATGTTGCTGGAGTATTTTCAGCTTCTATCCTACATCTTCAGGAAGGAGGTAGTGTGTACTTTAAAAATCTATATTGCAGTAAAATTTGTCATTTTCCTAAGTCCTTTGTTGTCACTTGTATTAAATAGCTGGCTCTTTGGTGAATTGTCATTTAACATATTTTTGTAAACTCTACCCATTGGATAGAATATAGAAATTCATTAAATACTCTGTGATTCTGGACTAATGTCAACATTCATCTCTCTTTGAAGGAAAACTTTTATGATAAAACATCCTATACCATTATGTTTGGACCAGACAAATGTGGAGAAGATTATAAACTTCATTTTATCTTCAGACATAAACATCCCAAAACTGGCATTTTTGAAGAGAAACATGCCAAACCTCCAGATGTAGACCTTAAAAAGTTCTTTACAGACAGGAAGACGCATCTTTATACCCTTGGTATATCCTTTTAATTCATTCATGTATTCAAAAATATTTGCTCACTATTGATATATTCATGGCAAGTGCTTTAGGAGAAAACAAACATGTACCCCATCCTGAAGGAATTTATCTTTTTGGGAAAATAGGACATACGTAATGACAGCACCGGTAAAAGATAAAGTTCCAGATGAAAAAGAAATGAGACACAGCCAAGAGTTCACAAGCAATATTACTTCCAGCTTGGACACTTGGAACCAAGCTAGGAAATATTATCTTTGAACTCATCTTGAAGTAAGATAGAATGTGGAAGACAGTAGGGTAAAAGGACATTTTAGACGTTGTGACAGTGGTGCTATAAGAACAGAAAACTAGAAAATAAAAAGGAATAAGCCCTTAATGCCAGGCTACAAAGTTTAGACTATATTCTGTAGGCAGTTGTGATTATTGTTACGTCCTGTGTCATGTTGGTTGTGCCATGTACTTCAAAAGGAAAAGCACTGAGCAGCCACATATTAATATACTAAAGTAAATAGAAATTTGCATAGGTTTGGGGGTGAGGGGCATTATAAGGAATTGTTTCTCCCATTCTCAAGTATAATGGTTATAGAGCTCTGGTCAGCTCACGATCAAAATCAGAGCATATTAGAACCTAATAGGACATTTTGAAATGACTCTACTGGCTTCTTTTCTCAAGTCTCAACTCCACCCAAGATTAAAGTATTTCAATCTTTTCCCCCAAAGGCAGCAGCCATTGTAGAAACATTCATTTTGTCTGCTAGGGCAATGCCCACTTTATCTTAATATCAGATTTGTTATAATAAACATCTTCATGAAATAATTGATAAACAAAACTAGGCATTTTGGGGAACACCAAGTAAACTGTAGAAATAATGAGAGAATATAACTAGAACATTTGACTTTGTACAAATCTGGTCAAAAGCAATTTGGTAATACATGTCAAAGGCCATAGAGGTTTATATCCTCTGAAACCACAATTCCACTTTCAGATACTTATTCAAGGGAAATAATCCAGAAGAAAGAAAATTACTTACGTATGAAGATATACTGAAAATTAGAAGCAACCTAAATGTTACAATTAGGGGAGTTTTCTGCACCATACAAAGATGATAACAATGAAAATATTTAGCAACAGGGGGAAATGTATGTAATATTAAAATGGTGAGAGCAAGATTCAAATTGTAGGCACATCATAATGGCTCTGCAAGCAAAGAGGGAAGGACTAGGAGAAAATGACTAATTTTCATTCATCACTTGACATGTACCATGTTGTATGCTAGGGACTTTGGAACCATTATGTGAGGTGAGCAGCAGTCTCTCTATTTTGCCTTAGCTTAGTTAAATAACTTGCCCCAGTAAACAAGAGTAACTGAAGGGCTGGAATTGAAAATCAAGTCTGACCATTAAACACTTATTTTTCTTAGTACTATACTTGTGCTAGGATTATTGAATGACTTTTTTCTTTTGAAAAATCTTAATACTATTATATTTTATGACACTATTGTGTAGTTGTTTTAAGAACCTTAAGAGTACCTTTATAGACTTCATATGATCCAGTACCTTTTGTTATTGATTAAGATATGTAATACAGTTCTCTAAATGAAAATTTTTGTGGGGGAGCAAAGATTTTGAACAGTCTTTTTTTCACATATGCCTGTTTGTCATATGGATTCTTTGTTTTGACTGAAGTTTTTAAGAATCAATTTCATTTGCAAAATTTATTCAGAAAGCTTTTTTTTTTAAAGATTTTTCTCTCTTTTGAATTAGGAAGGATCTAGTTGTTCTTTGCAGTTAAGATCTTACTCTTAGCTCTTCTTCAATCTTGATATTTTCATTCATTTTAGTAACATAATTTTATAATCTCAGCTTTAATGCAAGAGGAAATTGTGGAGAAAAGAGAAGAGAGAAACTATTAGTGTGGTTTTGTATTGAGTTTGTACATAAATTGAATTCTTTGGTTTTGATATGACTAATTTGGCATTGTGATTGAAGCCTCTGGAGATTATTACTTCAGAGCTATTTCTTCATAAAATGGTAGCCCACTTCACTAAAGTCAAGATGATCCTTATATTTGTTGATAGCCCCTAACTTCTTTCACTTACTGAAAGCAAATGTTAGACAGCTATTTACATCTGTCATTCTTTCCAAAGATCTAAATTGTATCTAGTGATCCCTATATTTCCAAAATGAGGACAGAGATCTTTTGTTTTCTCACTACAAAGGATAAGGGAGTCCTTTATGTCATTTTTGGCATGGGACTTTTAGAGGGCTTAGAATTTACCTTGAAACAAACATGCAGGTAAATATAAACTTGAATATCTTAAATTACCCTTAAGATATTTTACACTATAGTATATAAGTCATTGACTTTGAATGCCAGTGAACCTTATCTTTAAAGAGTTCTATGAAATGGAAGTAACATATCAATGTTAATTTCCTGATTTCGGTGCCTATATTGGGGTTATATAAGAGAATATCCTTGTTTGTAAGAAATAGGCATTAAAATATTCAGGGGTGATGGTGTATGAAGTCAGTAACTTCCTCTTAAATTGTTCAGGAAAAAAACTTAAGTTTTTTGTGTTATACTTGCAACACTTGAAGATTGTATCAAAAAATTTTAATACTGGAAAAGATTAGGTTGTATTCTATAACTATAAAAGAGTAAAGCTGACTGTTCATGAGTCCCAAAACAGAGCTATTTGGTATTCTTTTTTATTTGAGAAGTAATGGAGCATTTCATTGTAAAAGAAATGCAGTAGAAAACAAAATTTTATCTTTATTTAGGAAATATATTTGGTGATTTTGGAATATTTTGATTTAATACATTGGTTATTCCTCTATTTCTGGTTGGGAATAGAAGCTTTACCCATGAATTTAAGGATAGTTGCATTATTTAAAAGATTTTTTTTAAATGTCTATCAAAACGATAACTATATTTAAATTGGTCCTTAGTGATGAATCCAGATGACACATTTGAGGTGTTAGTTGATCAAACAGTTGTAAACAAAGGAAGCCTCTTAGAGGATGTGGTTCCTCCTATCAATCCTCCCAAAGAAATTGAAGATCCCAGTGATAAAAAACCTGAGGAATGGGATGAAAGAGCAAAAATTCCTGATCCTTCTGCCATCAAACCAGAAGACTGGTAAGCAAGGAATTCAGTAGCAAAGTATTATTTGGCATAACTAGGTAATGAAACAACATATAAGTGAAGTTTACAACCAATGAAGTTTATTCCTTTGAACATCAGAACTACTTATTTTATTTTGGGTGAAACGTTTTCTAAAATGGATTTTACACTTCCCTGCCTGTTAATATTTTTTACTTCTATTGATAATTATGTTGCATTTTTAATATATGTTTATTTTTGTTTTCAATGCTGTGGAGAAAAATTTCATAATTCCAAAATACTAGTGCTTTAATTTTCATTCCTAGTTTGATCTTTATTGTATGTGTTTGACTGTTGTATATTGTTGTACTCTGTTTTAGTTAATGATTACTTGGCTTTAAAATAGCCATATCCTCAACCTCTTATACAACTATATGATTCTCTTATACTAGTGTGCTTAACCATAAATTTTTCACTAGCTGAGTATTTGTGTTGTTTCCATTCTACAGGATTATATTTTCCTTAAAAAGAAATGTACTCAGTTTCTGAGTTTCCATAGCTTGTGTTCAGATGGTGAGAGATACCTGTATCTCTCTCCATTTACTGAGGTATTCTTTGTTCTTCAAACATGTTTTTTAATTTCTCCATAAAGATCTTGTTAACTTTATTGCTAAGGACTTTTTTTTCCTGCTGATTGGGTAACCCTTAATTACAGTTTCGGCAAATAGATTATCTTTTTATGTTTAGTCCAACATGTTAATTATCTATTTCTTTGTAACAAATGACCCCAAAACATAGCAGCTGGGGAAAAAAAACAACAAACATTATGTCACATGGCTTCTGAGAGTGAGAATTCTGGGGGAGGCTTAGCTGAATGGTTATGGCTCAGGCCCTCTGTGAGGTTTCAGTCATATGAAGGTATACATTCATATATATGTCATATGAAGTAAGTCACATGAAGGTATACATTCATATGATACAGTATATATAGCTTTTGACATGGACTAGAGGATCCACTTCCAAACCGGCTCAAGTTACTATTGTCAAGAAGTTTCCATTCTTCCTCACTTGGGCCTTTCTTTAGGTCTCTTCATGATATGGCAGATGGTGTCTCCCAGAGGGAGTGAGCCAAGAGGAGGAGAGACAGTACAACCACAGAAATAGTGGTGTTTTGTATAACCTAATCTCAGAAATACCATGCCATCACTTGAGTTGTATCATTTGTCACACAGACCAATCCTGGTACAATTGGAAGGGGACTATACAAGGGTATGAATATGAATCAATAGATAATAATAAAAGTTCTATTCTTAGTTTACTGAGAGTTATTTTATGATTGAATATTGTATAAGTACCTTTTGTGCATCCATTGAGATGACCCTTTGAGTTTTCTCCTTTATTTTCTTAGTATGGTGAATTATATTGGCTGATTTTCTAATGTTGGACTGACCTTACAATCCGTTTGGTCATCAAATATTATGCTTTTTATATTTTCTTGGTGCTAATTTTATTTTTTCCTGCCCTGTTTATTGAGGTATAGTTTCCATATAGTTAAATTCATTTAGATATACCATTCTGTGAGTTTTAATAAGCATATACAATGATGTAACCATAACTACAATCATGACATAGAATATTTCCATTATTCCCAAAAGGACTCTCATATCCTTTTGTCCTTATTTCCCTTTTCTGCCTTTAAACCTTGGCAACAACTGATCTGATTTGTGTCCCTGTAGTTTTATCTTTTCCATAATAGCACATACAATGGAATGATACAGTATATATAGCTATATATGGCTTTCATAGCTGGTTTCTTTCACTTACAATAATGCTTTTGTGATTCAGTTGTGTTGCATGTACTAGTTGTCAGTTTTATTGCTGAATAGTATTCTTTTTCACATTTGATAGAAATTTTAGTGGCAAATTAGAATAAAGCAGTGACAAACATTTGTGGACAGGATTTTGTGTGGAAATAAGTTTTTTTTTTTTTTTCGGGGTAACTACTTAGGAGTGGGATTGCTGGATTGTACAGTAAGTATATATTTAAATTCATGAGAAACTGCCAAACTTTTCCAAAGAGCTGTACCATTTTGCATTCCCACCAGCATTGTGTAAGACTTCCAGTTGTTCTACATTTACAGCATTTTACATTACCTGGTTTTGTTCTTGTTTTTTGTTTGTTTTCCTTTGGCTATTTTTAAATGTTTGTGGTGACATTGTAGCTTTAGTTTATAGTTCCCTAATGACTAATCACACTGAGCATCTTTTCATTCACTTACCATTCATATCATTTTATTGATGAAGCATCTTTTTGATTTGCTCACTTTAAAATTGTTTTTTTATTATTGAGTTATGAAAGTTCTTTATATTCTGGATATAGATTTCATATTATCTATTGCTCTGTAACAAATTACCCCAAAACATACTGGCTTAAAACAATATTATTTCACAGTTTCTATGAGTTGGGAATCTGAGTGCAACTTAGCTGAGTCCTCTGCCTGGCTCTGGGTCTCCCACAGGTTGCAACTGAGGTGTCAGCAGGGGCTGCAGTTATTTTAAGGCTCAACTAGGGTAGACACACTTTCGGTCTCACTAGGTGTTTTTCGGCAGGATTCAATTCAGGAAACTAAATTGTGAATGGACTGTGGGCCTCACATTCTTTCTGGGATTGGACAGAGTCTTCCCACATTGCAGAGTTCCTTGCAGTGTGGGCCTTTCCATAGGGTAGCTCACAACATGACAGCTCTCTTCAGCAATGAAACAAGGAAGAGGGAAAGAGAATGTAAAGAGGAGGAAAGTCACAATCTATACTAGGTTAACGGTGTTCTCCAAAAGGTCATGTCTACCCAAAACCTGTGATTGTGACCTTATTTAGAAATAAGGTTTTTGCAGATGTAGTCAAGTTAAGAGGAGGTCACACTGGATTACAGTGGGCCCTCAATCCAATATGACTAGTGTTCTTATAAGAGGAAAATTCGAACAGAGACACACAAGGAGAAAGCCATGTGACAAAAGAGGCAGAGACTGGTGTCATGTACCCACAAGCCAGGGAATGCCAAGGATTTCCAGAAACTAGGAAGAAGCAAGGAAGGATCCTCCCCTCGAGCCTTTGGAGAGAACATAGTCCTGCCAACAACTGTGATTTTGGACTTCTAGCCTCTGCAACTACAAGATATGTGGCAGCCCCAGGAAGTTAATACATGTCTTTATAACTTAGTCTTAGCAGTAGCAAATCTTTGCTCATTAATAGCAAGTTATTAGGCCCAACCCATGCTCAAGAAGAGGGAATTTTGTATGGGAGTGAGTTACCAGGAGGTAGGGATCATTGGAAACCCATTTCAGATGCTGCCTGCCTCAGTCAGAGAAGAATGCAGTCCTGATCAGCATTCTGATTGCAACCCATCAAAGAGGCTAATCCAGAGGACCTAACTAAGTTATGCTCAGATTCCTGACCTACAGAAACTACACGAAAAGAGATGTGACTATTTTAAGCCCCTAAATATTGAAGCAATTTGTTATGCAGAAATAGACAATTAATATAAGATATATTATGTACAAATATCTCCTCCCAATCTGGAGCTTGCCTTAATTTTATTAATAGAAATTTTAAATTTTCATGAGGTACAATTTGTGAATATTCATCTTTGATAATTCATGTCTTTTGTGTTTTACCCAAAAAAATTTTGCCTAAATGAAGATCACAATGGTATTCCTTTTTTTCTTCTAAACAAATAATTTTCATTAAAACTCTGTTCTGAGTTAGTTGTTTTATATAGTGTGAAATATAAATCAAGATACAGTACTTGTCTCTTATTTGTGGGGAATATAGGCCAAGACCCCCCAATGGATGCCTGAAATCAAGGATAGTACTGAACCCAATAAATAACCACTTTTTTTTGTAGGCATACATACTTAAGATAAAGTTCAGTTTTTTAATTAGGCACAATAAAGGCACAATAATAGATTAACAATAACTAAAATAAAATAGAACAATTTTAACAGTATACTGTAATAGGAATTATGGGAATATGGTCTTTCTCTCTCTCAAAACATCTTATTGTACTGTACTCACCCTTCTTGTGATGACATGAGATGGTAATTCACATCACATTCACATTTAACTGAAACTGCAGAAAGCAGTTAAGGAGGGGACTACTGTACATTTTAAAAAATACAGATGCCTAATTGTTTCAGCATCTCTTATCATCTGTTTAATGTCTGTAATAATCTGATGTCCTCGCTTTCATTCTTAATTTGGTAATTTGTGTTTTTTTCTTGGTATTTATAGCTAGAGGTTTATCAATTCTATATAACTTTTTGAAGAATCAGCTTTTTTACTGGTTTTTCCCCTCTATTGTTCGCTTTCTACTTCATTATTTTCATCCTTCCTACTTTGGACTTAATTTGCTTCTTTTTTTTTCTAATTTATTAGGGTAGGAAATTTTCCTTTTCTAAAAGCAGTACCTGTAAGTTTTCTCTAAGCATTTCTTTACATTCCACGAATATGTCATTTATAAAAGCATTCAGTTCAGACTGTTTTCTAATTTCCATGTGATTTCTTTGATCTATGCGCTTTTTAAGTGTGTTTCTTTATTGTAAATTATTTATGAATTTTCCCAATATAATTTTTACTTTGACACCCAATTTAATTAAATTGTGATCATACAGAAAATATTATTTATGAGTTTAGACTTTTAAAAATATATGTCAATTGTATCAAGTTGGTTGATAGTGTTGTTCAAGGTTTCTATTATCCTTAATGGTTTTCAACCTGTTTGTCGAAGAGTGTTGTCTGAGAAAAGAGTATTAAGAGTTTTCATTTATAATGGTGGATTTTTCTTTATTTACTTTCAGTTCTGTCAGGTTTTGCTTTGTGGGTTTTGAAGATGTTAGTAGATGCATTCACAGTATTTCATGACCTCTTGAGGAACTGACCCTTTTATTATTGTAAACTTTATAAACACAGTGTTTTATAATAGTCTCTCTTTTTTTTTAATTTTCCTTTTTTCTTTTTTTTTTCCATTTATTTATTTTATTGCATTCTAGGTTTTGGGGTACATGTGAAGAACATGCAAAATTGTTGCATAGGAACACACGTGGCAGTGTGATTTGCTGCCTTCCTCCCCATCACCTACATCTGGCATTTCTCCCCTTGCTATCTCTCCCCAGCTTCCCACCCCCCCCCCTCCCCCCCCTATTTCCCCCCAACTATAATAGTCTCTTGAAGTCCACTTGGTCTGATATTAAATCAGCACTCCTGCTTTCTTTTAAATTACGTTTACATGGAATACTATTTTCCATTGTTTGCTTGTAACATATACATGCCTTTATTTTTAAAGTAGATTTCTTATAGACAAATTATATTTGGGTCTTTGGAGTATTTAAACCATCTACGTTTAATGTAGTCATTGACGTGGTTACATGTAAGCCTACCACCTCACTACTTGTTTTCTGTTTGTTCCATGTATTCTGTGGTCCTTTATAAAAAATTTTTTTCCAACTTGTTTTTGACCGAGTTATTTTCTATTATTTTAGTATTCCATTTTGTCTTCTCTGTTGGCATATTAGCTTTTCCTCCCTAGTTTATTGTTTTATTCTTGCTCCTGTTCACAATATACATCTTTAACTTATCTTAGTCCACCTCAAATAATAATATACTACTTCACATCTGATTTAACTTGATAAGAGTCTTATATTTCCCCTTTGCATCCTTCATGCTGTTTTCATACATTTAGTTACATATATTGTGAAGGCCACACAAAATTCTTATTTTACTCGGTGTCTTTTAATCATATGAGGGAAAATGTATTTTCATTTACCCATATATTTGCCATTTCTGGTACTCTTTTTCCTTTTGTGTAGGCACAAAACATGTTGCCATTTTTCTTTTGCCTGAAAAACTTCCCTTAACTTATCATAGTGCATATCTGCTGTCACTGAATTCTCTCAACTTTCATTTGTCTGAAAATTTATTTTACTTCAACTATTGAAAAATAACTAGTAACCTATAATCCAATAGTGAAAATATCCTTCAAAAATTATTCTCTTTCAGAGCTTACATTGTTTCTCATGAGAAGTCACTTTTTATTCTCATCTTTATTCTCTTCTACCTAATTTGTTCTTGGCTTGGTTTTAAGATTATTTTATTATTAACAATTTCAACAGTTTGATTTTGCTGTGCCTCGATGTAAATTTCTTCATGTTTATCTTGTTTAGGTTCTTTGAGCTTCTTGGAAAGTAGGTTTATAATTTGTATCAAGTTTGGATAATATTTGGAGATTATTTCTTCAAGTTTTTATATGTTCTTCACTATCTCTTTTTCAGGGGATCTCTACTTAAATATATGTTGGACTGCTTTAGATGGTCTCGCTGAGAATCTGTTCGTTGTTTTTACCAGTTTTTCTCTGTGTGCTTCGTTTTGAAAAGTGCCTATTCCTGTTTCTTTAAATTCTTGTTTGGTTGTAAACATTGGGGCTACTACCTATTCAAAACACAGTATGTTTTCCCTGGAAAACCAAAAGTATTAACTTGGTAACTCTTATAGACCAAGAGAGATATTGATTAGTAGTGAAAATTTCTTTGTCTTCCAACAAATAATACATAGGGAAAGAACACATACAAGGTAGGAAGAGCAGTCTGGTTTTTTAAAAAGTTAATAAAAGGCCACAATCAATGCATCATTTTCATGCATGCATTCATACTGTCAGAAAAGGTAGAACTGTATCCTTCCATGTGAGCTTTCTAACATTGCTTCGTATTTGTTTACCCATAAAGAATACGTTTGCCCTTAAATTAGAGAAACCACATATAATTGCTTCATTCTGATTGTTGAAATGTGTTAAAATTTGTTTTACAAAGTACTAAAAGAAATGCTCTATTAAATTTTAACTTCTGATTACTCTGAACACTCAGAGACTCAAGATGACATTGATATCAGGCAAGCATAAGTCTATACATTTATAGAGTTGATTATTTCTGTTTATTTTGTAACTCATTTGGAAAATCATGAAGTGGATTCTTGGTTAAAATTTCTATCTTTCTGTAATGATGAAAATTTTATTAGTAGTTTAGTACTTTATGTTTATATACTTTTGAATTTACCGTTATTTTTAAAATAAAAATACTAGAATTAAATAAGGAGTGTTAAAAAATTATATCGGAATAGGGAAGATCTTTCCATATATGACATAAAATCCAAGAATCCTTTAAAAATAAGTTCAACTACATGAAAATAAATCATTTGTATATTGCAAAAAAACAACCTCCCTAAACTATTTAAAAAAACACACAAGAACCAGGAAAAATTATTTTCCATTATATAATTGGCAGCTAATTTATCATATAAAGGTAATGAGATCAGGAAAATGATTTTTATGCATCACTTATGCTACTAAATGTACATTCAAACTACAATGAGACACCATTTTTCACCTATCACATGGGCAAAAATCAAGAAGTTTAGTAACACTCTTCACAAGGACAGGAGAAAATAGGTACTTTTGCACACTGCTGGTAGGAGTGGAAATGTAGTATAGCCATTAAAGAGAGTAATGTGGATGCTACTATCAAATTTAAGACGTACGTACTCTTAAAATTATGTTTTCACAGGTGAGAAACTGCATATGTTCCAGGACATTCACTGTAGCATTGTTTGTATTAATATAATAAGTAAAATTTTGAAAACACTAAATGTCCTCCAAAAGGAGATAAGCTAAATAAATTATGGTATATTCTCAAGTAGAAAACTATGCAATTGTTAAGAATGAAGCATTATATATAAATAATGAAGCTCCTAGAATAGTCTTGACACATAGAAAGCATGCAATATATATTTGTTGATGAATGACTTGAGTTTTTAAGTGACAAAAGCAAGGTATAATACATTATGTATAGAATGCTATCATTTGTATTTTAAAAAAAGAATGTATACATGTACATGTATGCATAGAGCACAACAGGGAATATGTACTGAAAATTGGGAAGTTAGCAGAAGATTTAGGTGGGTGGTAGATGAGGACAAATAATAGACACAAACAAAAGGAAGGGAAATAATTTTATGGTACTTTCTGAGTGTTGTAACATATGAATTTTTGAACTTTTTGAATAATTAGTAATTAACATAAAACGTTGCATTTACAGGGACGAAAGTGAACCTGCCCAAATAGAAGATTTAAGTGTTGTTAAACCTGCTGGCTGGCTTGATGATGAACCAAAATTTATCCCAGATCCTAATGCTGAAAAACCTGATGACTGGTAAGTACTCTTCATCTTCAAATGTTGATTTCAAATGTTTCTTACATGCATTTTTGTTACTAGTTTACATGACTGATCTGAGACTTGAGGTTACTGTATTTGCCTTGTTCTAATGCCCTAAGGAATGAAGACATGGATGGAGAATGGGAAGCACCTCAGATTCTTAATCCAGCATGTCACATTGGGTGTGGTGAGTGGAAACCTCCCATGATAGACAACCCAAAATACAAAGGAGTATGGAGCCCTCCACTGGTCGATAATCCTAACTACCAGGTAACAACCACTTGTTCCAATTTTTTAGTGACGTTAAAAATGTTGTGATCTTTTCTGTTTATATATCTAATTAATTATGTTATCTTTCAGAAGTTTCGCTTGTAATTTTAACATGTCAAAGAAAATATACTCCAACTAATTTGTACTTTAAAAATAGAGCATCATTTATTTAATTTTCTGGGGAAAAAATTAAAAACTAAAGATAAATCACTTCATACTATATTCTTCCCTAATTATCAATTGATGCTCACTTTGAAATAAAGTTCTATTTTAGAAGTAAATATAAGAATTGAATTCTGATCAAATAGACTCACACTGTACATTTTAGTAAGTAATGCCTTGCTTAATTAATATACTTATCCTTTAGTATTATTAAAATTCTGATTTTTTTTTTTCCTGAGCCAGAGTCTTCCTCTGTCACAAAGGCTGGTGTGCAGTGGCACGATCTCGGCTCACTGCAATCTCCACCTTCCTGGTTCAAGCAGTTTTCCTGCCTCAGTCTCCCTGCTAGCTGGGATTACAGGTGTGCACCAGCATGCCTAGCTAAAGTTTGTATTTTTAGTGGAGACAGGATTTCACTAACTTGGCCAGGCTGGTCTCAAACTCCTGACCTCATGATCCACCTGCCTCAGCCTCCCAAAGTGCTGGGATTACAGGAGTGAGTCAACAAGCCTGGCCCTGATTTTTTTCTGATCTCAGACATCTTTTGAGTGTACCTAGCTTTTTATATTAAAGATTTCTATGTTATCCACTTAGCCCTCTAGTTTTATCTTTGTAATTATTTATGGACACATTCTAACATATATATGCAGTTTCATATTCTAAGTACTCACTGTAGCTTTTATTAAAAGCATTTAACACAAAATGTTTCTTTTGGTAAATTTTTTTATTTAATGTCTGTCTCTTTTATTAGACTTCAAACTCCATAATACAGGAACCATGTATGTCTCCATCATCTAGCATAGTGCCTGGCCATGAATACATACATGTGATGGTGGAGTGAGTCAGTGAGCAATGATATTTTCAGATGTGTTTGATTTAATTGACAGTTTAATCAATTAGGATCTAATGGGAGTTTTATGTTGAGTAGTTGTGCTGAGATTCAACCATACCTGATTAATGATACCTGTCATGGGTATATGTTAAATTGAGTGGCCCCATTTTTGCTATACAGTGATCTTTCTGATTTGGACAAATTGAACACCTTGCATTGAATAACTTTACTAAATCTAAGAAAATTATCTAAAATAGATAAATTGTGAAATTTACTTATGTTTCTGTGTATGTTGGATTTTCCCTTTTCCTTTTTTGTAGAATTTAAAGTATCACTCATAGAGAACATTGTGTATAGAGCAAAAAGAAACAAGATTTTATTTCCAGTATATTACTAATGAATTAATGTCAGTTAAAGTTTTCTTCTTCCCAGTTAGCATTGCTAATTTCATTCAACAGCAGATACTTACTAAGCAGCATTTATAATGAAGTTATTTTATTTGAAAACCTATTCAATTACTTTTTCTTCTAGGGAATCTGGAGTCCTCGAAAAATTCCTAATCCAGATTATTTTGAAGATGATCATCCATTTCTTCTGACTTCCTTCAGTGCTCTTGGTTTAGAGCTTTGGTCCATGACCTCTGATATCTACTTTGATAATTTTATTATCTGTTCGGAAAAGGAAGTAGCAGATCACTGGGCTGCAGATGGTTGGAGATGGAAAATAATGATAGCAAATGCTAATGAGGTATGGTATTGACCAATTGCAGTAGTGATATAACTATGAATAATAATAATAAGACTTGGTCTTGGTTATAGGTTATTCAGATGGCTCTTTTAAAGGTAAATAAATGTGCAATAATTATTAAATGCTTAGGAAATGTGTTTGAATAAGTTTATGTAGACAGAATATTTTGCTTTTTATGTTGCTTCATTGCAAACTACATAACTATATATGCATACGTAAGTCCTCATTTTATTCATTAAATTATAATAGCTCTAATGGGATTTAAGGCTTATTTACTATTTATAGAAGAAGACTACTTAATATCTTTGTCATCTTGCCAATTCAAGGCCTAATGGTAATCTAAATATTACTGTTTATTCATTTTAACTATTTTTTACTTAGAAGAATGTACAAAGAATTTATAGTTTAACATTATTAAATTCTGTTCCAGTTTTTTTCCCCACATCTTAACACTGTTTAGAAAAGGTTAAATTAAATATTTCAACACAATGCATCTTAGAAATGTATCTTTAAATTCAGTTGCTATAAAGAAAAATTCATATCTTACATTTAGTTGCTTTGGTCACTAGCAAAAAACCATCAAGAGTAGGTAAAGAAGGATTCTCCTTTTGAACCTCTTGTAACTAAAACATTTAATGCTTTTTATTTTATTTTAATAAGAGAAATAATATCCTTATTGAGGGTCTTGTGTAGGAAATATGTTTATATAAAAAAAAACAATTCTGAGGTATGATTTTTAGTAAATTCTTTAAAAGTACAGAATGAATGATCACTTCAAATGAACCAGGTAATACGTCCATAAAAGATAGTTCTATTCTGAAATTTACCAAAAAGGAAAATTACCATATTTCTTGCCAGTGTGTTAGAAGTTTCCATTTTTGTCATAACATATTTTTGCTACAAAGTCTCACTCACTGATGCATGCTAATAATTAAATTAGACTTTACAAAGTATAAGGTGGGAAAATGAAACTTCTTTTACTTACAAGTTCATCACTCCTTAATATAAAATGCCCAAGTAAATAAATTCTTTGTATCTTGTCTTACCCAGTAATGTCCTGTAAAATTTGAATTGCATTTTTATGCTTATCTCATCTACAGCCTGGTGTATTAAAACAGTTAATCGCAGCTGCTGAAGGGCACCCATGGCTTTGGTTGATTTATCTCGTGACAGGAGGAGTGCCAATAGCATTAATTACTTCATTTTGTTGGCCAAGAAAAGTAAAGGTAAAGAAAATAGATTTCCTTCAACTTCTTTCCCCCAAATTTCTTATTAATAGTTCTATATATATTGAGCAAATGATTCTTAAAAGTAATAAATTAAATGTTTCATAAGTTTTACTGATAGTTCATTATGTATGTTATCAATTATTGCAAAAAAAGTTTTTCAAAATAGTGCTCTGCCTTTAGTAAAAATAACTTATGTTAAACTACCACAGAAGAAATATAAAGATACAGAGTATAAAAAACCCGACATATATATACCACAAACAAAGGGAGTACTCGAGCAAGAAGTAACGGAAGAGAAAGCAGCCCTGGAAAAACCAATAGACCTGGAAGAGGAAAGAAAGCAAAGTGATGGTGAAATGCTTGAAAAAGGTAAGACAATGGTAATGATTTGTAATGGAGACCCTGGATAAAGCTCATAAAAACAGTATATTACCTTGAAATAACTAGCTGTTGCACTTGTTTATTATCAAGTTTATACATCTGACTCTTCCAAGAATATGTGACTATGGCAAAGGGAAGTAGTAGTCTTCTCAGCAGCCACCCTGTTTATAGTTTTTGTGTTTTAGGAAGAAGGAGATTTAAATAGTGTTCTGTTGCTTCAGAGCCTAGCAGTTATGAATCCCATAGGCCGTAGCTTTTTGCAAGGATTTTTCCTGCATCTGGGAATGTAGAAGATGAGAAGGAGAATGATGGAGGGTATATATCATGGCCTCTATAGAAAAGGAATAGATATAAAGCAGGTGATTGCAGCAACAAAATCAACACCAAGTCTTCCAATGGCTATTGTTAATCAGATGCTTATCATATAGAAAAATAATTTAATTAATTTTCTAAAAGAATTGCTGAACCTATATCCCCCTCCCACACAATATTAAACTCTTGAAGATGTTAGAACTGAAGTCACCCTTTGGTGGCTCTCCATTGAGACCTCCCTACATGAGGTAGAAATAAAACACTTGATTTTCCTGGTGTCACAAGCCAAATATGCTGAAGCACTATTTTTCACTTACTTGATGAAGTGAGTGATATTGATGTCTGGATCAACCTTATTTTGAGGGTATTTGAGTATCAGAAGGGCCTGCTTGTATAAAGGTACTTTTACCTATACACGCAGTCCCATACTGTGGATGGAGAACTACATGGAAGAAGTAGAGTTGATTTTTCACCTTTCTTTTCCCCAAAGCCCATTCTTGGTGGGGTAGGGGTTTTAACTTTATATGGCTCCTAGGACATTCTTAATATCTTTTGGTAACGATGATGACAAAAGTTAGAGGTTCTGCTAAATGGAATCCTGAGGAGGGTCAATAACTGAAAAAATGCATGATAATGTCCACAGAGAACAAACATAAATAAATAGCATATTAACGAATAAAAGATCACCAAAAAGTAGAGGAAGTATTTCCCAAGACAAGAACACAGGAAAGATTATTAGTTTTTGGTTTTCATATTACATACAGACTGAATCTTAAGAATTTTTTTAAACCTGTCCCCCAACTCAGATATGATGATTCATTTGTAAAATATGATATACTGTAATGAGTATTTATATTTTTTAATTTTGAACGGAAGGAGTTTCTTCTAAATCTTGGAATAAGTCTTGGAATTTAAATAAATCCTCTTTATTATATTTAATAGTTTTCAGCAGCAGAATTCTAATTTACTGAGACTTTGCGTTTAATAAAATCTGTATTCTAGAAGAGGAAGATGAACCTGAGGAAAAGAGTGAAGAAGAAATCGAAATCATAGAAGGGCAAGAAGAACTTAAGAAATCAAATAAGTCTGGATCAGAGGATGAGGTAAGCAACACTTTAACTGAAAATAAACTGGTTTCTATGTATAGTTGTTATCCATAAAAAGTTCTTTCAATAAAAGCAGCAATCTGGTTTATGAGAAAAATTTTGCCATGTTTCTCTCAGCTTTTATAAGAGCCTCTATATTGTTTTTAAAACATATTCATAAGGAAGAAATTTAAAATACTATAGTTTATATTGTCTCAATACCTAGTAAAACAGTATAGAGCAAGTCTATGACTTACAAAATATAAAGATAGAATACATCAATCCAAAATTATAACTTTCTCATTGAAATTCTATTGAAAAGCATAATAAATATTGTTTGAATATTTAAAAGATAATTGTCATTATTATAATTTTTATACCTGTTGTAAAACATCCTTATTGTCTCAACATTTTGCTGCCACATTTTGAAATATTTCATTCATTGGGTAGTTTAGTACTATCTGCCTGATAGGGTACTTTTCTCAAATCTTTAATTAACATTTTCCCCCCCCAACGATTAGTACCCCTTTTTGTGTCCTGATATAAAATGGAACTTTGCACGGTGCTTTTTTTTTTTTTTTTATAAGTTATTATGGAATGAGAAATCCAGAGTATAATTAGAGCCAGGGCTTTCTTTTTTCTTTTTTTTTTTAACCCAGCATAAACCAAAAACCTGTTTTCTTGGCCCTTAAAGAATTGCATAGCCTTACCCCACTGAGTCACCATCCTAACATATTACATTCTAACTACTTAGGTGGGGTAAAAGTACAGTTCTGCCTGTTTTTGCATGTGATGAAATAAATTTTGTATTTTACCTATTTGAAGAAACCCTCCAAATAAATTCAGAGTTATTGTTGTTTAAGTGTCTCCTAATGTTTACTTAGTACACATACTGGTTGCTGGTCTTACTGCCCTCTGAGTTTTTAAAGAGACTTTGGAGACCATTATCTAGTATGAATATCCATATTTAGGGAGAGCTAAGTGAAAAGAATTTCTTCCAGAGCAGAGTTTTAAATAATCATTGTGTCTTCTGTGACTTTCTTAAAATAATACCTGCAGTCATTTAGTTGAACGTGTATTCTATTTACATTTGCTTTACAAAACATTTTGTATACCTTCAAAAATACCTTAATTCCATCTTTCAGTCTTTCCATCTTCTTATGTGTATGTGTCAGCTAGAATACATCAACTTTTGTATAACCCTGAGAAACAGCTACAACTTTATTTTATATAATACCTTCATGATAGCACTTGATGGGTAGCACATATATTTTAGAGAATAATAAATATATTGCTTACTACTATCTACTAGTTACATGTTACACTAAAAGAAACATTTTCATAATTATTCTTTCTAGATGAAAGAAGCAGATGAGAGCACAGGATCTGGAGATGGGCCAATAAAGTCAGTACGCAAAAGAAGAGTACGAAAGGACTAAAGTAGATTCAAGTATTTTTAATTCCTGAGAGATGTTTGGCATTCTAAAATCAGCATGCCAGACCTGAACTTGAATCAATCTGCACATCCTGTTTCTAATATCTAGCAACATTATTCTTTCAGATGTTTATTTTAGTCCTTCATTTCAGTGGAAAAGGCAACTCTGAAGTTACCTGGTCTTTGAATTTAAAACAAAAGTGGCTCATTACATATTGGATCTAAGATATTAATACCATTACAAGTTTACACAGTTTTAGTTGTTCTAAGATAGTTTTGGTTTGTACAGAACAAAATAATATGTAGCAGCTTCACTGCTATTGAAAAAATCAGTTACTGGAATTTCCAATTAAATGGCTATACAACAATGTAACTGGTAGTTCTATAGTAAAAATGAGCATGTGTTCTGTTGTACAGAGCTAAATGCAATAAAGTTTCTGTACAGTTGTTTGATTCTATCAACAATTGAAAGTGTTGTATGTGACCCACATTTACCTAGTTTGTGTCAAATTATAGTTATGGTCAGTTGTTCACTTAAATTATAGATTCCTTTAAAGAGGTGCCTTGTTTGTAGAATCACCGGATTATATTGCAGCATATTTCACATTTGAATACAAAGATAATGGGTTTTATCAAAACAAAATGATGTACAGATCTTTTTCAAGTTTTTAAAGTTGCTTTATGCCAGAGTGGTTTACCCCATTCTCAAAATTTCTTATGCATACATTGCTATTGAAAATAAAATTTAAATATTTTTTCATCCTTAATACCCTATTTAACAGGTTATTATTGAGGAGGATTTATATAATTTTCCTTATACTAAGCAATTCTAATGACTGATGTCAATTTCATCATGCTTTTGTATTTTCTTTACTTATTTCCAGTGGGGTTGGAATGCTTTTTATCCTGACAAATTTAAATCTATTCTAAGTCTGTCATCTCATCTATAAATAGCTTCAAAGCTGCCACTGCGGAGGATAGGAACAACTATTACTGTTGCTCTTCTTTTTAAAGCAGGTACCATGTCACTGGACTACATTATAATGGAGCTGTGTTGTTCCATTTAAAGTATTTTATTTATGAAATTCTTATGTTTGGGTAACAGGTTTAGACTCTTTGGAAGAGGATCTAAATCTTTGAGACCACAGAACTCCTTGCATATTAAGTATCTAGAGAACTTTCCACGTTAGGTAAGATTTTGGATTCCTTCGTGGATGTACACAAATCCCATCCTTCGGCAAGCCCTCAACTATTCTAGGTTCCCATACAACTCCTTCCCCAGTGAGTAAACTTAGAACTTATGAATAAGGAAAGTAAGTCTCTAGCCTCTGCTTTTACTGAAGGAAGCCAAACATAGCCACTAATACTATTCACTCCTTATTTCAAAGAGTGAATTGAAAAACAAAATAAGTTATTTACTCCATTGCTATGCTCTGAACTTCTATAAATTGGTGGTAGAAAATCTTAATACACAGTATTTAGCCATACTTTGTATACAAACTGAACACATTCTTCCTCTCTAGCTTGCTTTGCATTTGGGGTGTCCAAATGTACTAAACATATTGAATAATCCTAGATGAGAACCTTTTTTAATTTAATGAAAACTTTCTTGCCTGGAAAGTGTCTTGTATGTGAACATTTTTTCTAAAGATTGTTTAAAGTTTTTCTTTTTTTTTTTTAACTTTCTTGGTTGCAGATTCATTTGTTTGGTAAAACTCCATGAACTTGCAGTGGTAAAATCTGAGCAACTGATTTTGCCAAGTCACTGCTAATTCCTGTGCACATACCCCTTTGTGGATGTACCGTAGCTGTTAAGTTAAACCAAAACTAAAACTCTAATGTATAACCTGTACTAGATCCATGCGGTAGATATAATCTTTCTTAATAATCAAATGGCTTTTTCCTTTTACTCTATAATCTGACTTTATTGTTTAAAATGGCCTACATTTTATCCATAAAGGAGAGAAATAAGTATATTTTACTTTTATTTTAGTTTGCCTTTTTAGAGGCTTTTTAACTTGATCACTATAATGTCTCCCTTCTGGAATATTTTTTCCTGATAGTCTTGCTTCTATTAATCATTTCTCCAGCAAAACATCATGTTTCTAGAATTAGTGTTTTTGCAGTATCAGTCCACCTTTGAAGGAGAAACATGATGGAACTGCTTCCGTGTTAAAATGAACCACTAGAAATGAATTTGATGTATCTTAAAATTTTAGAATTCTAGTCAAAAATGGTTTTGTATTCAGTAGAAACCATTCAGAATGGTTAAAACATAAATACATTACACTCTAGGAATCTGTGAACAGTTTTTTTGTTCTCAATTGTGGCTATATGTTTTAACTTTAGCAGGATTTAAAGATTAAATGTAAGATGGCTAAAGTAAGATAACTAAATCTTTTATATAAGCGATTTCTTAAAACATAAAAGAATTTCTGCATAAATTTCAATAATTTCTTCTCCTCAAAAGTATATAACTCCCATGTATTTCCAAAGTATGACAGCTGAATTTAGGAAATAATATTATCCCTAATCTGAAAGATCAGATATGAAGCAAGATGATGGGAGAGAGAATGTATGGAAGAGTAGGGTAGTTTTAGGAAGATGGGCAACAGGATAACTGGAAAAATGAGCTTTTACCACCTAACATAGTTATCACATATTTTGTGTTTGTTAAATGAATACTTTTTTGGTAAAATCTGGGGGTATTCCCAAATTTTAATGACACTTGAGAAACCATCTATAATGTATATATTTTAAAACAAGATAAATACATTATGAAATTGATTACAATGAATGTATAACTTTAGCTTCTGTTGTATCTCAACCCACCCCTTCATAGGTCCACAGGCCAACGGCCAACATAAAGTCCTTGTTGTAGCAAATGATCCTTTTTTTGTTTTTGTTCTTTTGAGGAGACAGAGTCTCACTCTGTCACTCTGGCTAGAGTGCTGCGGCACCATCAGAACTCACTGCAGCTTTGAACTCCTGGGCTTAATCCTCCCATGTCAGCCACCATGCCCAGCTAATTTTTCAATTTTTTTTTTTTTTTTTTGTAGAGACATGGTTTCATTATGTTGTTCAGGCTGGTCTCAAGATCCTAGGCTTAAGGAATCCTACTTTGGTGTCCCAAAGAGCTGGGCATTACACGCATGAGCCACCACACCTAGCCTTGTAAATTTGTCTTTTAAATATCATTCATCTCTGATTTCAGTGAAATAAACTGCAGCTAGTTTTCTGATAAGAAATTAAGAAATAGGAAATTAAGTCATTCTCTCTTCCAATTCTTAACTTTTCATATATTCATATTATCTGTTCTTTCATGATTTACAAGTGGTTTTAACAACTAAACTCTGGTGTTCACTGGTAGTAATTTTGGTTACATGCACATTGAAGATGTATATGATGACAACTACCACAAAGTGTTCAGGGAAAAACAAAATTTTTATGGGGCAAAGTAAAGAACGGCTTTACATTCTAAAGTTGAATCAATTTTGCTTTTCTTTGGACCATGAAATTAATTTTATATTCTATAATTCAACTATCATTTTTCTTTATAAAAGGGACTAGATCACAGTGAAAAGTGACAGGTATAGAGATGCGACATTAACTGGTTGGAACTAAATGCATACATTCAGTTACTTTTCTACAAAAGGTTTTGTTGTTAGAATTCCAAAAACCAAAAATCTGAAAAGTAAAAGTTTTTTCCCAGCATTTTGGCAAGAAAATTCACTTGGTAGCTGAGTCTGACTTCTCCCGCAAGGTTTTATATAGTCTCTTTATCCACTTTAATACTCTCATTCTGCAGAAATATTAATATACTTGATTATAGGTGTTGTCCCCATCCCCATTTTGATGTCGTGAGTCCTAACATTTTATAAAAATCTGAAAAACTCCAAATTCTAAGACATCTGGCCCTACAAGTTTCGGACGAGGAACTGTGATTTGTAGTAACCTGCTGTGAGTCCAAAGGGAATATAAAGAGGACACATTCTGGATAGAATGGCAGTGTCAATATTGGGGGAATTCCTATTAGGGAATACTGAGGAAAATGTGCGTCCGTTTTTGGGATGCTATAACAAATTATAAGACTGGGTGGCTTATAAACAATAAATTTATCTCTCACAGTTTTGGAGGCTGGAAGTCTGAGATCAGTGTTGAGGGCCCTCTGCCAGGATGCAGACTGCTGTCTTCTATGTGGCACAAAAGAGCTCTCCAGGGTCTCTTTCCATAAGGGCACTAATCCCATTCAGGAGGGCTTCCCCCTCATTACCTAATTATCTCCCAAAGGTCCCACCTCCTAAAAGCATCACATTGGGGTTAGGATTTCAACCTAAGAATTTTGGGAGGACACATTCAGTCCCTGACAAGGAGTATGCTGATTTTTTCCCTGCCAAACATCATTCTAACAGCATGTAAACTAGGAAGTGTTGAAGAAAAAGACATTCTGAGCAGTAAAGACTTTATTCAGGACTGCATGTGTTAAGAAAAAATGCTCATCATCACTGGTCATAAGAGAAATGCAAATCAAAACTACATTGAGATACCATCTCACGCCGGTAAGAATGGCGAACATTAAAAAATCTGGAGACAGCAGATGCTGGAGAGGATGTGGAGAAATAGGAACACTTTTGCACTGTTGGTGGGAGTGTAAATTAGTTCAACCATTGTGGAAGACAGTGTGGCGATTCCTCAAGGACATAGAAATAGAAATTCCATTTGACCCAGCAATCCCATTACTGGGTATATATCCAAAGGATTACAAATCGTTCTACTATAAGGACACGTGTACACGAATGTTCATTGCAGCACTGTTTACAATAGCAAGGACCTGGAACCAACCCAAATGCCCATCGACGATAGACTGGACAGGGAAAATGTGGCACATATACACCATGGAATATTATGCAGCCATCAAAAACGATGAGTTTGGGTCCTTTGTGGGGACATGGATGAACCTGGAAACCATCATTCTCAGCAAACTGACAGAGGAGCAGAAGATCAAACACCGCATGTTCTCACTCATAGGCGGGTGTTGAACGATGAGAGCACATGGACACAGGGAGGGGAGCACTACACACTGGGGTCAGTTGGGGGGAAATAGGGGAGGGACGGTGGGGGGTGGGAAGCTGGGGAGGGATAGCAGGGGGAGAAATGCCAGATGTAGGTGATGGGGAGGAAGGCAGCAAATCACACTGCCACGTGTGTTCCTATGCAACAATTTTGAATGTTCTTCACATGTACCCCAAAACCTAAAATGCAATAAAATAAATAAATGGGGAAAAAAAAAAGAGAGAGAACTCAGAAATAAGACTGCATACCTACAATCATCTGGTCTTTGAAAACCCTGACAAAAACAAGCAATGGAGAAAGGATTCCCTATTTAATAAATGGTGCTGGGAGAACTGGCTAGCCATATGCAGAAAATTGAATTTGGACCCCTTCCTTACACCATATACAAAAATCAACTC